ATTAATTTGATTTTTTTACTAAAATTGATAGACATTTGTTGGTCCTAGCATCTGTGGTGACTTTGAAATGCTCCTTTCACTGAGGCTGTAGCTGTTTGGGAACTGACCTTGACCTTCCTCCTCCCTCCAGTCACCCACAGTGTGACTGAAGTTTGTCAAGTAAATAGGGTGAGATGACTTGGAAGCTTCAAAATTGTTAGAGCTCCCCGGACCAGGCAAGGAAATTGAATGATTTTAAACCCACTCTTCCCAGCTCTTGAGGGTCTTAGAAATGAAATAGATTTATGAGTAGCTTTATCTTTAACCGTGATACATCTGAAGAGAAAACTTACAGTGCATCCTATGGTTTTTGCAAGAACGGAGCTGATCTTCCTCTGACCTGGGACCCAGGCATTCTAATGTTAGATCCTAAGGGGGAGCTTGGGAAATTCATGAGTAAAGAGAAATTCAGTTCAACATTTAGGGGCCACATAGCAAATCTTTCTTCCATCCACATCCCCTGAACAGATGCTAAAAAGTTTGATTCTGGTTGTGGACATGTGTTAAAATCTGTCTCCAGTAAGGAAAGCTTGAGGTATTTAATTTCTCATCCTTAATAGGAATCTATTCGATGGTTAGAAGATGAAAAAGCCCTCCTAGAAATGACTGAAGAAGTGGACTATGATGTAGATTCATATGCTACTCAGCTTGAAGCGATTCTTGAACAAAAGATAGACATTCTTACTGAACTTCGAGGTAGAATTTTCTTTTTATTCTTTAGAAGGTACAATTGCTTATATGTTCACTGGTTAATTATTTTATGCTGTAATGGGGATCAAAGGAACTAGAGTAAAAACTTAAACTGTTTTCATACCATATTAATCTCCATGGCTCCTTATTAGTGATTTGCTCTTCAAAGCCTATAAAGATATGTTTTTTTTCCCTTTGGGGGGGTGAGGTGGGGAAGGGCCCAAAAAGTATGGACTATCAGCTCCTTTTGGCATATATTTCTCCCCTACCCCATTCCCTTGAAAATAACATCTTACGATTAAAAATAAACACAATGAAAAATTATTAAAAGGTAAAGTAGCAGAAAATGTAAACTCTTGTTCACTATAATTTTGGAAATCATTTAATATTAGAAAAATTTTTAATTCTCAAATCACTGATTATTTGGACAGTGAATATTTATATTTGGTTATTAAACTATTATTAAACCACAAAATAACATTTATTTTATGGTTTGTCAGTGCCATTTGTTCACTTTAGCTCCTCAATTTGAGGGTGGGAAATGGGGTGGGGAGGAAGATTACATAAGAGAAGCCTGTTGGTTAAAAATAAGGGTTTGGTTTGGAGTATTACACCAATGGTGTCAAATTCAAATTGAAACAGGGGTCAGTAATCTATACATAAGGATCCCAGCAGGCCACATATTGACTTCATTTTTAAAATGCAATGTTATCTATGTTTCATTATATTTTCATTTATTTTGTTAGATATATTCCACTTGCATTTTAATCTCATTTAAGCTGCACTGGGCATGCAGGCAACATGTAGCCACTCTGTATTAGACCTCTTATTACTTGATACCCGGCTGCTTATGTAGAACATAGTTCAATGTGTTCTCTATACGTGGAATGAAATAATATTTATTCCTTTGTTCTCTTCTTTTTCCAAGATAAAGTGAAATCTTTTCGTGCAGCTCTACAAGAAGAAGAACTGGCCAGCAAGCAGATCAATCCGAAGAGACCCCGAGCCCTTTAAAATGGGCACTTGCTGCTAAAGAATCCCTGGAGCCCTCCATACTCTAACATTTATTGCTTTGGCTACAAGGGCCATTTGAACATTTAAAAACTTTTTTAAAGTGTCTGTGGAAATGTCCTGTTCTTCATCAGAATGACATTTCAATTTGTGTGAAACACTCCTTTGTCTACAAAATGCTTTCTAGTCCAGGAGGCACAACCAAACAAGATTGGGATTTGTGAAGCATTTTGTTTCATGTTTTATTTACTCAAAATTGTGAAGCTTACATTTGGAGATCCTTGCCAGTTTTTTGTTTTTTTTGTGATAATGAAGTAAGACTGTGGACTTTTCTTTAAAGAAAAAAAAGCCACAGCATTTCATTTTAACTGTTCAATTTTCCTACAAAGACCAACTGAGCAGTTTTAAATTGTGTTTGCGTGCATGCATACCTCATCAGTGATTGTACATATCCTGTCCTCTCCTAGAGACAGCTGTGCTCACCTCTTCCAGCTCTGTGCCTTGATTAAGGCTACTGACCCTAAATTTCCTCTTTATGAATGAAGCACAGCCTTAATAAATGACATTCCTTATTTGTCAGTGTAAATTACCTTTATCGTGTGTATATTTTTAATGTGTGTGAGACTTTTTTTGTGTGTGATTAGTTCACTTTGGAGGATGTGCCATATCACTGAACGGAACTAAAATCTGTGACAGTGGACAAAGCCACTGGACCATTCCATCTTAAATGTGTAAAAAGAAAATAATCTGGAATTATGACTTTAAATAACGTAAAGCGTGGTTTTGATTTTCTTAGCATTTTATTTGTAAAGGACAAATATATAAATTAGTTGATGTAAAATAAAAGGTAATGAAATACTGAGAAGAGTTGTATCTTAGGGTAATACAGATAAGCAATGTATGTGCCAGTGTGATACTAATGAGAATAATAGTGCAATTCTGATCCTTACAAATGGGGTGCCATTACTTAAATGGTACAACTAACAATCTAGACAAGTACCCTTTTCAATAATATACTGTTAAAAGAAAGTGGCTTCTGATGCATGTGTGTTAACTATGGTCTACAGGTAGTTTTGTGGAGTTATATGGTTGCTTTAAGGCAAAGTGGCCAGTGCATATTTTCCTTGTACAGTGAAATCAGCTATAAAGTAAGGCAGCTGTGCTGTGAAGAACACATGCACATTTAGCTCCTTCAAACACCCATTTTGTGATCAATGTCACCAAGAAATGTCATTCTCACCAAAAGTATGGTGAGGGTATCCTGCACTTTTTAGATGGCAGCACCTATTTTATTTTATTTTTTTTGCAGATTAATTTTCAAAGGAGGAATGTTTGCCATTTCATGTAAATATTTTGTTAGGTGAAGAAATATAGCTCTCTAGGAGTTCTCTCTCTCTCTTCCCTAGACAGTTCAAAAAGTAGATTAACTAACTCCTTAGGAAGTCCTGTTTTAGTTCACTTCGGGAAACTGCTAGCTCACTTAATGCTAAGCAGCAAAAGGGAAAGCAATGAGTAGAGAGCTAAATGAGCCAGATTTGCCATTTCAGTATTTGCAACCCCCTTAGGAAGGAAGGCTGTGGGAAGCCCTTATTGTGCATCATGGTGGAAAAACTCCTAGACTGTAAACATAAAAGCTGAAATACAAATGTAGATTTTCATAATGTGTTTAATAAATTAAGCTATGGAATAACTTTTAGAGATGAGAATTTACTTCTATGAAATTCCTTGTAAAAATACATGTGAATTGATTTAATTTCTCTATCCATTTTTGAATCAGCTATGCCTAAAGAGGAGTTTAGAGCTGAGAAATGCTTGGAATAAAGTTATTACTCTCTGTTCTGGAAAAAAAACTTAAGTAGAGGCTATTAGTATTAATAAGTCATTTTTGCTAATTACAGTATCAAGATAGTTGTCCATTATCTAAAGGACAAAAAGAAAAATAGGAATGTCATTTAAGTCAAAACTGATAAATTTATTTAATTTAGTGCATTTATAGCTTTGCATTAAGTGCAGATAAGAATTTTGGAGGGAAAAGTTTAAGGCTACCTAACTTATAGAAATTGTTAATATGGCACAATTATTATGGCAGGCTTCCTTCTCATCAAGACTGTTAAAGCAATTTCAGAACAGTAAAGAAATAATAAAGAAAACCTAGGCCATCTTTGCCTAATTTAACCTGAGTTAATAATTCGATGGATACATCCAGCTCATTACAGCATTTTATATAGGGAATGAGATAATGAGACCAGGGAACAGCAGGCAGGAAATTTGGTTCATCATGTGGCTAATCTACTAATGGACAATTCAAAACTTCAGCATGCCAAAAAAGGACCTTAATTTCACAGCAATCTGACATGTCTGTCATGGAGGAGTGGGGAGGGTATACATTGTGCTCGGACCTGAAGCTTAAAGAGAATAGGAGCTTGCCCTGGTTCACGCAGCTAATGACAGAGTGGGATGACTCTGACTCCCCATCCAATATTCTTTCTACATTATTCAAGTATACCCAAACCCAGTCATTTATGAAAGGGACAATTTCTAATTTAACTTTTTTTGAGATCTGTCTACTCTTGGGTTAACAGTGATAATATGTTAGATTGCCTAACTGGGGAATCTTGTTTGAAGCAAATGCGAATTCATAGAACATTTACAAGAATTCACTATGATTCTAAAGGATGGTTCTCTTGACACATTTAAAATAAGTTTAAAAACTAGACATATGGCTCTGTTGTCTAAGTATAGATCTACTACTACCCATATGAACATTAAGATTCTGAGAACAGACTTATAAAAGATCCTTATTTTCATGTAATTTATAATTCAGAAAAACACTATAAAGTTATGGATATTGCTAACATTAGCTTTATCAGACAGTATCTGGGTACCATAAATGTTGACTATTCAAGACAATTAGAAGGGACCAACTTCCATACACTTCATGTAAAGCAGAAAAAACAATCCAGGATTCCATAAAGTTAGATATACAAAAAGATAATGAAAAAGTGTAAATTTTAGGTTTAGCAATTTTCTGTGCTGTCACAATGACCCACTACAGCAGTTTTGCATTACTAAATTAATAGTCCTAGCTGCTGTAAGTCTTATAAAACTACAAGGGACTTTCCTCATCCAGGAGTTTCCTATACTAATGAAATCACAGGTTCAGTTCTAATCCTCTGAACTGAAGTAGTTAAGTTTTTCTTAGGTGTCTTCTAAAGTATTTTTACAGTGCTTTTCCATGAATATTAAAAAAAAAAGCCAAGTAAAAATTTGTAGAGTTTTATTTTCTTCATGTTATTTATATGTATATAAAATACATCAATTTATCACTGGAGGGTATAATTTTTGTGAGGTGACTGATAATCCTACCATTGAGACTTCCTGGTTGGTCACCGAATTTCACAACTGGAAAGAAGTTTATAAATCAGCTAATCTTAACTCCCTCATTGGACAAATGAGGAAATTTGAGGTCCAGAGGTGAAGTGTCTTGCCTGAAGTCACATAGCTACTGCATTATCAGAGATAAACCGAGAATCAATCCCAGGTTCCATATTTCTCTCAATATACCACTTTACCACTTTACCCACTGCAATGGAAAAGGGAACTAAGCTCAAGGAAGTAAGAAGGATCAGATGGACACAAATGAATAAATGAAAAAGAAAAGTTCATGACAACAGAATGAGGGAGATGATCATTAGATAAATGGAAGAAGACTAGGTAAAGAGAATAATAAAAAAGCTTATTTTTTATTTAAAAGACATACCTCTCATCTATCCCAATAAGCAAAAGAAAAGTCCCCTAAGAATAGAATTATCACAGTAAATAAGATGTTAGTTTCAGAAGATGAACAGGTAGAAGTGAAAAGGTTTGTGTGTCAAGTTTGTGCGTGTATTGCGGCTATTAACTTTTGGAAAGAACTGTATTTGATCTGGAGGGTCAATGACTTGGCCACCCCATGCCCAAAGTTACATAGTCTGAACACTTACAAAGTACAGAATAAATTTGCCCTTTAAAAAAAAAAAACCAAAAAGTTACTTCATGATGAGAGGGTGAGTTTTAGTTATAAAACCTGCAGGGTATTTGGTGTGGTTATCCTTGTAAAAAATAGAGGTCCACCTTCTTCATTATCAGTAGTTCAAGAAAGTAAAATTACAGTTTCTTGTTAAGTTTGGAGTATCCTCTTTTTATTCTGCCTAAGAAAAATGGATGCCTTCTGCATTGAATCCATGTAGCAATCTGGAAAAAAGGTGAACATGAAAAAGTAGGCAAACAATAACCAAAACAAGGCCTGTACTGCTTAAAATTTTGTGTAGGGGAGAACAAGTCTAAGCTTCTAACAGCCCACTTGGTTTAAACAATTTTTTGATTTTTAAACATTATAGTACAATAAAAAAAAACCATGACAATCCATTGTAATAGATTTGATACATAAATACATTTGAGAAGACCCAGGGTCAAATACTCCCTTTTGACTTAAATTTGCTAGCTTCATGGCCATGGGCAAGTCACAAATTTTCAGTGCCCCAGTTAATTAAGACTTTAGAAGTTACAAGTGAATTGCTGATCTGCATGGAGGAAGGAATTCCCCACACCAGGACTTAATTCCCAGATAAAATCACGTCAGCATGGAAAAAACAACCAAAAAAAGGTCACAAAATAACTGCTCTCTATATACAACTGTGACTGACTGGAAAACATTAGGTTGCCATTCATTCTTATCACTGAGTTTGGTCTACTCAGGTTTAGATTTTGTGTTTAGATGAGAGAGCTCTTTCATCTTGGTCCATATAAACAATTTAAACACATCAACAGATACTACAGTATCACAAATTCAGAGCTAAAAGGAGTTATCAGAGGCCACATCAACCTCTCTATTTTACAGGTGAGGAAACAGGCCTGCAGAGGTTCTATGACTTCTGTGCCCACAGTCACCCAGGTAGAACCAGGATTAAAATTCCAATATAACTGCAATTCTATTGCTCTACATTGTACCGTGATGCCTCTGAGGACAAGAAACCGATGTAATCTAGAGGGCCATTCCATGTAAAGGAAATTTTTGTTCCTCTCAATGGAATTAGGTAGAGGAAAAAAGTTCTTCTATACAGACACAAAAGAAAAACTAGGAATTTCCCATCGTTTCACAAGGGCTTGTTGTTCAATCACACCCATCTCTTCGTGACCTCATTTGAGATTTTCGTGGTAAAGATACTGGAATGGTTTTGCCATTTCCTTCTCTAGCTCATTTTACAGATGAGGAAACTGAGGCAAACAGGGTTAAGTGACTTGCCTAAGGTCTCACAGCTAATAAGGATCTAAGGCCAGATTTGAACTCAGGTCTTCCTGACTCCAGGCCCAGTGCTCTATCCACTGTACCACCTAGCTGCCCTTCTCATAAAGCTTAGGTGGAATTAGAAAATAAAGACTAAGTTCCCTGAGGTCAGTCAGCAAACATTTATGAAGTGCCTACTACATGCCAGGCACTATGCTGAGTGCTGGGGATAAGAAGAGAGGTGACAGTCTTTGCCATTGAAAGGCTCCCAGTCTAATGGGGGAGACAACAAGCAGACAGCTATGTAAAGCCTCCATTTTCATACTGTACCTCCAGGTGGCTAGAAAAAATAAATAGGAAGTTGTTCTTGGCAACTGTAAAAAGAAGTATGGCATGATGGAAAGAGAACCACAATTGGAGTTAGGAGAGCCTTGGGTTTAACTTGCATTTGCCACTTTCTAGACATGAGCAAGGCACTTCATCCCTGTAAGCCTACTTCATCTGTTCCATAGGGATAATACCTGTAGTACTTAACTCATAGGATTGTTATGAAAATACAACTGGAACATCTAGTGCTTTGTAAACCTTGAAAGTGCTATGTAAATGCCAGCTCTTATTAGGGTGCATAGAACGTGGGTCTCTAGTTACCCATAGCGTCCAGTCTTTTTTTACTTCCTGTGTGGAGAATGAAATGAGGACTCTTTGCTAAAAGATGGAATTGTACCTTGTTAGGTAGTTTCTAGGATTAACATCTAATTCCACATTATCACTCAAATCAAAAAACTTAATGTACCATCTGACATTATAACTATCAAACCATTTGTATCTATCAACAAACCTAAGTCAAGCAGAGAATTAAGACAATTACTCGTTTGCTTAAGGGCAAAATTCTCCCTGAACACATTTGGCCATTCATAAAAATGATATGGCTGATTCGGGTAAAAGTTATTTCGGTCAGAATTACAGAAATAATTAGCTCACCTGTGCCTCACTCTGGTTTTTGTGAGCTGGCCTCAAGTGACTAAGTGAGCCACCACAGTGATCAGCTGTTATCTAGACACCACAGGGACTGCCCCTGTTTCATGCCTGGTTTCCTAAGCAGTGGCTAGCACCAGGATGGAAAGAAAAGACACAAGGGTCTCTTCTCTGGGATCAGATTCCTATACCTCAGGTAAGGAAATGTTGCAAATACATAGCTGCTACTTTAGCACTCCTTCAACTGATAAGTTTATGAAGCAGACAGGCTCCTAGAGGAATACTGAAAAGACTATGAATGAAAGTAAGTTAAAATTCCCCCATAACCCAAAGGTTATCTACTGGCTCTGACTGTTCCTCATTACTGGTTCTTCAATAAAATCTTATGTGTTGGGGCTAGCCAGCCTCCATCTACTATACCAAATACTATTTCATGCAACACAAGTCCTATGCAACAGGTTTTCCAGGTAGTCCCATGTTGCTCTCCTCCAATCGCCTTTAAATACAGCATCTGAAGGTGTCAAGAGTACAGAAATGTAAATGTGTCTAAGTCATTTAGAAAAATTAAAATGTAATTACCTAATGAAGTCATCTATGTCCATGGAACGGGCCCGTTTGTCACTAAAACCTGTATCCATTAGGATTTTCTGTATTTTATCTGCAATGCTGAAATCTTCTGGTATTGCCTATCAACACAGGATGCAGAATAAATGAACACAATATCTTGCAATGCAGCTACTTTGACTCTTTTTTGGGGGTTCATGCAAGTCACAAAATAATTTTAGTTTATTTGTGATAATATGGAAAAGAGGTTAATTGTACAGATACAATGAATCTTTGAGTATAGGTTGTATTAGAGGGCTAGTGAGGTCTCTTCCAAATCACATTTTCTATTCTATGGTTCTAATTGGGCGACCTTCCCCCATACTGAGAGACCCAATTACACTTTTGAATAAGATCATTTTTATTGCTCTAACATTCTTATCCTTAAAATGGAAATAACTTATAATCCTAGATGAAAACATTGCTACACTTTTAAAGTATAATTTTATATTAAACAATGAATCCTAAAGGAATTTTTTAAAAATACAAGCTTGTTTAACATGCTATCTCTGTACAACCTCATTACGTTTACAAGCAGAGTTCTAACCTCAAACTTCTGAATGTTCATGTGGAGTTGGATTTTGGAGCCACTTAGAGGTATACTGTAATCAGCAGATGAAAAAGACAAGGAAAATGCAACAGTGATGGCTCACAACTAAACATTAAGTTATTATGTAGTTACAGTTGCGTCAATCTACCAGAACCAGAATTAAAATGTTTACAGCAGGTGATGATAAACACATGAGATACAGAATTTGCCTGAAGACAGAGGTGCATCATAGAAGAGGATGGTGCATGACCACTAAAGAACATTTCCTACTTACAATATTATGGACTGAACAGTGAATTCGGTAATTTTTTTCCAAAAGCTGTTGCACTGCACTCGACCTATGGCGATGCAAAATGATATTAACAGAATTGCCAAGTTTGAGTTTCAGTAGATTCCTTTCTATGTATTTATGTTTAGTGAAAGGTGGATGTTATGCTTCTATAGAATTTTTAAAGTGTTTCATGTTTAAATGAATGAAACAGTTGCATTTTAGATTGCTATAATTATAACCTTCACACATAATAATGACTATCATTTTTATAGCACTTTATATTTTACAAAATATTCACAAATTGATCAAAGGGCTGAGAGTTGGAAGGCATCTTGGAGATCATTTAATCTAACACCCTAATTTTACAGAGATTCAGTGAAAAGCAGTGACTTGCCCAAGGTCACTAAGTGGCAGAGCTAGAATTTGTACCTAGGTTTTTTAAGACCAAATCCTGTGTTCTTTCTACTACCCCACACTGCCACACTTCCACATCTATTATTTGATCTGTTCCTCACAACATCCTAATGAGGTAGCTAGTGAAATTAACCCCATCTTATAGGTGATGAAACTGAGCCTCAAAGAAATTGTGACTGCCACTTACTAGCTGTGTGACAAGAGTTATGATTCAAGCCCAGGCTTCCTAACTCCAAATCCACTGATCTTTGCATTACATGGCAGCTGCCTCCATGATAACAAAGAGACTAAAGGAAACAAAAAGGAAACAAGGCTTAAAAGCACCCTTGTTTTGTGGTTTTGGTGAAACCTGGTGGATTTGTATGAACTGAGGAAGGAAAAGTTCAGCAGAACCAGAAGAACAATTTGTACAATAACAATACTGTGAAAACAAACAACTGAAAGACTTAAGAACACTGACTGATGCAATGACCAACCATAATTCCCGAGAACCAGTAGAAAAACACGCTACCTACACCTGCTGACATAAAGGGATGTACTTACAATTTAGAAATACACACATACACACAATACATATGTATATGTAGAGATTATAATTATATCATATGTAATAATTATATATACATATATAAATTTTATTTTGGGGGGCACAATCAATGTGGGAATTTGTTTTGCTTCACTATGTCTGTTAAAAGGGTTTTCTTTTTTTTTCCTCCCAATGGAAGAGATGGGAGAGAAAAATATTTATGTTAATTAAAAATTTTTCATTAAAAAAGAAAAATAATAAATGAAACCAAGCTTTTGAAAGTATTCCTATTTTGGACAAATACAACCCCACTAACCTCCTCAAGCTTACTACTTCAATTCAAGCTAAAACATGAGGCCTACTACAGAAACATGGTGGTGCTATGTTAGGCACTGTATGATGCAGAGCTGTGGCTGAGGTGGAGAGTTCCAAGAAGCAGTAGAGCTAGGCCAAGAACCAAGTCTTCTGACTCCCAAACTAAGTCCCTTTTCATTAATCCACTGCCCATCGCCCATAATTACACAGTGATTAAAAAAGCTTAACAGTCTCTGGACCAGTATACTGTAAAGCAGCTGTCTATACCCCATAATCAGAAACAGGAGAGGGCACTTACTTAAATGCTGCAGACAGAGTCTTGTTTTTCCTCACAAATGTTATCCTCACAAGACCATCCCATTCCTGAAACAGATTGATGATATTGTTCTTACACACTAAAAATTCTTTAGTTTGCGTCACTCTCTCCATGAAAAAACCTGTTTAAGTTCCCTCACTAATAATGATTGAAGTGCAAATGTATAACAACAAAAGGTTGAACACCAAAATGGATCATAAGTAAATAATCTTCAAAAATAACATGGTTCCAATGAAAAGCTTTAACAATGCAGCTTGTACAAATCATCCGAATTTCCTTGTGAGCACTTGTGGCACACACCAGGCTGGCCCCTGCTTACAATTTCCTTCTTCTGAATGACGGCCCTACCTACACTCTTGTGCAGCCTAGTGGCCTGGCTTTGTTTTCACCTTACCTGGAAATTGATAGGTGGTGGTGGGTTCTTAGGTTCTATCCTTACCACACTTGACTCAACTTTTGGTGGAGGTCTGAAATTATTCTTCCCAACCTGTTCATCACAAAATAAGTGTCAGGCTTAATTTTATTTATCTTATTTCTGCGATTTAGTGACCAAAATCACTATTCTCAGAAACTCAATGCGGGATGAAGGGATCAAACTGATTTGCTCCACAGGTTAAATTTCACTTACTTTCATCAGATGATCCACTCGTGCTAGTAACTGGGTATTAATGGAAAGTCTGCAGTATAGTTTGTCTCCTGGTTTTGCAACCAAACGGAGAGCAAATTCCCTCTGGAACATAAGTATAGCACACCTGAGAAGAAAATAGAATGAGAAGGAGGAAAATGCCCACTTTTAATCAAGAATAGATAACCATAAAAATAGCATTCAATAAAATGTTCATTTATTATATACAAGGTACTGTGCTAGGCACTAGAGAGTCAAAGACCAAAAAGAAAGGGTCAGCATAGAAATCAGGAAAGGCCTTATGGAGAATTTGACACCTACGCTTTAAAGTGAGGAAGGAATCCTTAGAGGCAAGAGGTAAGGAGGTCCATTCCAGACACATGCTGAAGTCTAAAGGCAGAAGATGACATGCTGTTTATGGGGCTAAGCCAAAACAGCAGAGTAGCAGGAATCAGACCGGCCTTGCCCTCCTCCACAAAACTCTTCCAAATAAATCTAGAAAATGCACCAGACAAATCCTGATGGGTAAATCCAAGGAGAGTTACAATGAGTAATTTGTCAAGCCTCAATCAGCATAGGGAGACAGAGAGGTCTGCAGATTCCGAGGATGAGGTTAAGGAGTGAAGCACTCCAGCAGGCAGGAAAAGGCTGTGCACCAGGGCAAGAGGAGGTCCCAGACCCATCTTGAGATACCACCAGACCCATTCCAGGGCACCTCAATGAGGACAGGTGCCAACTGGCAACTTTGTCATCCACTACCCAGTTTTGGGCCACAGATAAAGAGTACACTGAGAAGGAGACCTCTGCCAGGAGTGGTATTCGAAGGAAGGGAGGCCCTGGGCCTTGCACTAAGAAAAAAAGAAATTCAGAAGAAACAGGCAGCAGTATGGCTCAGACCCTCAGGATGAAAGGGGGGGGGTCTTAGCTCCATCGTTTAGCCCAGACTGCAGAAGAATAAATGAGGCAAAAATTCTAGATCAAAGAGCCTAAATTCTGAACTAATAAAACTTGGCTTTATTCTAATAAAGGTGGCCGATAAGGGATAAGTCCAGTAGCATTCTACTCTTGCTCAGACCCAAACCCAGGTCAGGGACTAGCTGAGCTCAACCAGCAGGGGCAATAACCAGACTCTGACCTGCATCAGACCACTGTGGGGGCACTGAAAGCTTGCAGGTCCCCAGCCTGTTCCTCAGATCCTGGAATAACATAACACAATATTCCAAGAAAACAATAGGACCAGCCCACACTTCCCTCCAGAAGTACACAGAGCCTGACCCTAACATCAAGTCTGAAGTCAGAAAAAACAAGCAAACAAAAGAAAAATCCCACCAATAAAGAGCTACTATGGTGGCAGGGAAGTTCAAGATACAAACCTAGAAGAAGAGAATGACTCCAAATAATCTGCACGCAAAGCCTTAGAGAAAAACAATCTAGGCACAAACCCAATTAGAATTCCTGAAGATACGAAGCAAGAGTTAAAGAGAGTTTAAAATTTTTTTTAATAAATGAAATGAGAGTGCTTGAGGAAAAAAAAAACAAATGGAAAAGAAATTATAAAATTGGAAAGGGAATTAAGAATTTGGCCCAAGGGGTACAAAACCTTGCCAAAGCAACAAATTTCCTGGAAACTGGAATGGACCAAATGGAAGTCAATGACTTCATGAGATAACAAGAAAATTGTTTAAGCTAAAAGACTGAAAAAATGGAGAAAATTTAAGTTAATTTATAGCCAAAACAACTGACCTAGAAAACAGATTGAGGAGAAAAAAAATTAAGAATCATTAGACTACCTGAAAAATGTGACCAAAAAAAGAATCTAAATATATTTCAAGAAATCTTAACAACAACAACAAAAAAAAAAACAACTGCCCAGATCTCTTAGAATCTGAGGGCAAAGTAGAAATAGAATCCACAGACACCTCCTAAAAGAAACCCCAAAATGAAAACTCCCAGGAACATCACAGCCAAAATCCAGAGCTTCTAGGCAAAGAAAAAAATACTGAAAGCAGTAAGAAAAAAAGAATTCAAATATGGAGTAATCAGTCATGATCACACATAATTTAGCAGCCAACACTATCACTGAACAGAAAGCTTGGAATACTATATTCCAGAAGGCAAGGTTATATAGACTTATAGCCAAGAATAATTTACCCTGGAAAAACTGAGTATAATTTTACATGGGGAAAAATGGAACTTTAATGAAATAGAAGACTTCCAAGCATTCCTGATGAAAAGACCGAAGCTGTGTAGAAACTTTGAAGTTCAAACAAATACTATTTCATCAGATGCTCAAAACTTTGCAAGGTAGGTGCTTTTATCTCCATTTTTCAGATGAGGAAACTAAGGCAGACAGGTTAAATGACTTAGCTATTAAGTGTCTGAGAATGGATTTATTTTTAGGTCTTCCTAACTCCAAACTTGGCACTTTCTCTACTGTATCACCTAGTTGCCTGTAGTGAGAATGGAAAGGTAAGATAAGAAGAGGCCAGGTCATAAACAGTTTTAAATGCCAAACAAAATATATTTGATCCCGGAGGTAAATCTTGAGTTCTGTTTAGGACAGAGTTTTTTAGATGCTTACAGGACATCCTGTTCCAGATCTCTAAAAGGCATCTGGAGATTCAGGACTGGAATGCAGGAGAAAAACTAATGCTGGATCTACAAATCTGGGAATCATCTGCATAAAGATGATAATTCAACCCAAGGAAACTAATGAGATTACCAAGCAAAGTAGTATAAAGCTGGAGTTCTTAACATTTTTTCATTGACCCCTTTGGCAGTCTGGCAAAGCCATTAACATCCTCTCGAAATAATGTGTTTTTTAATGCACAAAATAATAAAAATAGGATTGCAAAGGAAACCAATTATATTGAAATACAGTTATCAAAATATATTTTTTAAAAGTTCATGAATGCCAAGTTAAGAACCCTTGGAATAGAGGGAGAAGGGAACAGAGTCAGGGTAAGGCCTGGGAGGATACCCACAATTGGAAGGTATGACAGGGATGAAGATTCAGCAAAGATCATATTGGGAGGAGAAGAACCAGGAGGGAGCAGTGTCATAAAAACCTAAAGAGGAGAGAGTGCACAGGAAGAGATGATTGATCTGCCAAATGCTGCAGAGAAGGCTAGAAGGATAAGGATTAAGAAAAGGCCACTGGGTTTGGCAGCTGAGGAGTCAAGAGTTTTAGCTGAATTAAGAGGGCAGGAACTAGATTGCTAAGGGCTAAGAAGGGAGTGAGAGGAGAAGAAGTGGAGTCACTTAGGTTAGACAGCTTTCTGGAGGAGCTCAAGTAGTAAGCGGGACACACATGGGATGATAACTATAACTAGCAGGGATGGTTTGATCAAGTGAGGATTTTTCAGTGATGGGGGACACATAGCTCTGTTTGTAAGCAGTGGAGAAGGAGCCAGTAGATGGGAAGAAATTAAAGATAAGGATGAGATTCCAAATATAGAGGCAACTAACAGAAAGACCAAAAGCCATTCACACAAAGTGGCCAAGGAATACCAACTGTCCTCAAAAGAACTGGAAACTATTAACCATATAAACGAATATTCCAAATCACTAATAATAAGAAAAATGCAAATCAAAAGAATTCTGAGGTTTCTTCTCACAGTCAGCAAATTAGTAAATATGACAAAAGAGAATAAGAGTCAATGCTGGAGGGGCTGTAGAGGCTGTAGAAAGACAGACAGGTTAACAAACTATTAAGTCAGCAGTCCAAGTTTGAAAACAATTGGAATTATGCTAAGAAAATGACTAAAATATCCACGCCCTTTTACCAAGAGACCCCACTGCTAAGCTTAAACCCTAATGAGTCCCATGATAAAAAATACCCATATACACCAATTTATAACAGCATTTTTTAAAGTAACACATTTTGAAAAAAACAAAACAAAACTAGAAATTAAGTAGATGCCCAGTGAATGCAGAATGACTATACAAATTATAGCATATGAATAAAAAGGAATATTACTATGCTCTAAGAAAGTGATAGTCTTTCTATAACAAATGGAAACTGGAACATAAGTTCAAATTCAGCCTCAGACATTGACTAGCTGTGTGACCCTGGGCAAGTTACTTAATCACTGTTCACCTCAGTTTCCTCAACTGTATAACAAGATCATAACAGCACCTACTTCACAGGATTGTTGTGAAGATCAAGCGAGTATTTGTAAAAAGCACTTTGCACAGTGCCTGGCACATAAGTAGGGTGAGTTTTGCTTTTTTTTTCTCTTTTTTATTCTTTGTAAGAAATGATGCTCGGTGAGGAGGAAAGGTAAGACATACACTGGGAAATATAAGTGATGTAAAAATAAGACACCCAAAAAATTATTTTTTAAAAAAGAAAAAAAAAAAGCCCAGACAATCTTTGATTTTGCTAAATGCCTGACAGGGCCCAACTGGGATGATGAGAGGCATTCTGAAGTGAATTTAAAGGCAAGAACAACCTTCCTACCCTCTAAGGTGGGAAAGGAAGTAAAAAGACCTATAATAATTCCCATTAAAAGTAAAACTACTGTCTGTTATTTTTGGTTACAGGAATGAGTGACTACTGACACATTTCTGTTTAAATACATACGATCAACCCTTAACTAGGAAAACAGAAACAGCTTCTAAATAAAATTAAGACTCAGTTTTAAAAAGGAATGAGGGCTTCTAAAATATCTACTATCTGAGCCCAATTGGAAAAGTTCATAGTAGGGCAGGTTTAGAGCAGAAAGGGTCCAAAGAAGTCATTCTAACCCAGTCCTCTCACTTTACAGAGGAAACTGAGATTAAGTGGATTGCCCAAGGTTTCAGCTAATGTCAGAGGAGGCACTGAATCCCAGGTCTTCCTCAATCTATCCATGATGCTTCTCCGTTACAATGGCCAATCAAGAAGAAAAAGACTCTCATTCCTGAATTTTGTTAAAAGAATGACATTTAAGACTGTAGAAAAACATACACATACCTCAAAAATCAGGCAGGTTTTTTAAAATGTAAATTTGCATAATGTAATGGGAACAAAATTTGGTTTACCTATTAAATTTCTTAGTGAAATTTCTCCAGCTCAGGAAGAGTGGGTATTCAGAAAAGGGAAAGCTTTATAGAAGAGTTGGCATCTGAATTGGATCCTTAGAGTTAACCCAATTTGGCTAAAATGTAGGGTATGTATGAGGAACCAATGTTAAAGAAGAATGAAAAGGTAACTTTTGCTCCACACTGCGAAGGCCAATGATGCCTACTATGTGAGAAGTGCAATGTAAGACGCTAGAGACACAGACACACAAAAAAAGCAATAAACCCCTCCTCTTGAGGAGCTTATATACTACCAAGAGACAATGGAAAGACCTAGAAATATTCTGAACTGAAGAACAGTTTTCTCCAGTCTGTGCTTTACATAATTAGTTTGGCCACCTTATTTAAGCTAGATTACAGGGAAAAACGGTTACAAGGTTACTACAACAGGTATGAGGAAATGGAGTCTTGAGCTAAGGTAGTAGGAATGGAATGGAAAGTATGGAAAACAAAAGAAGGATATTTATCTACTTTCTCTCTGATTTCAACAACATTTATCTGACATTTTAGGGAGGCATACATTGAAAATAAATCAAATAGAAGCAACCAGTCTTTCTGAAATACTCTAAAAACTCAGTTTTCTCACATACCTAAAAAAAGGTCTATGCAGCAACAGCTTGAAGACAAATGGGGAAGAGATCTGCAAAAGAGAATGATGATGTGATTCTGGGAAATACTCACAAAACGATCCTTAATTATGATTTGTCTGTAACCACACTGAACATACCTGATAAGGCAAATTTGCTACACATGCATCAAAGAATGGCAAGTCGGTTTTCAACACATCACCAACCATTACTTGAAGTTTGCTTGCCTGGGGCCTGCCAATTGGAGGAAAAAAATTTTTTTCAATCACACCAACATGACTTTGGAAGACAAAACTACTAATTCTATTATTTATACTCACGTTCCCTGAACTCTTTTATGAAGTTCAGCTACTAGCCTTGGGTCAAGTTCACAGGCAACTACCTGGAGTAAACAGGGAAGTGATAAGAAAATATATTTAGGTAAACATGGATTGGTCATTGGCATTCATCATTTCAACAGTAAAAATCCTCAAACATGCTCTCTAAAACACTTTTCGATTCATATACATTGTCCTCCACTAACCATTCCCCCACCAAAGTACCTTAAAAGTATCTTTAAAAACAAAGATTTTACACAGGCAGTTTTCAAAACAAGAAATCAAAACTATGAAAAAATGCTCTAAATCACTAATGATTAGAAAAATTAAAATTAAAACAAGTCTGAGGTACTGGCTCACACCCATCAGACTGGCTAACATGTCAGAAAACGAAAATTATAAATTCTGGAGGATATGTGAAAAAATAGGGACACTGAACTCTTGGTGGAGTTATGAACACCAATCATTTTATTTTATTTATTTATTTTTTTTGGTGAGGCAATTGGGGTTAAGTGACTTGCCCAAGGTCACATAGCTAGTAAGTGTCAAGTGTTTGAGGCCGGATTTGAACTCAGGTCCTCCTGACTCCAAGGCCAGAGCTTTATCCACTGTGCCACCTAGCTGCCCCTGAACATCAATCATTTTGAAGAATAATTTGGAACTATGTCCAAAGTGCTATACAACTGTGTATACCCTTAGACCTAGAAATACCACTACTAGGTCTATATGGCAAAGAGATCAAAGAGAAAGGAAAAGGATTTATACACACAAAAATACTAATTTACCTATGTGGTGGCAAAGAATTGGAAATTGAGATGTCCATCAAATGAGAATGGCTGAACAAGTTGTGGTACGTGATTATGAAAGAATAATATTGCACAGAAAGAAATAATGAGAAAGATGGTTTTAGAAAAACCTAGGAACACATATGAATTGATGCAAAGCGAAATAAGCAGAACCAGGTAAATACACACAGTAATAGCAATATTGTAACAATGATCAACTGTGAAAGACTTAGCTACTCTGAGCAATTCACAGTTCCAAAGGACTCCTGTTGAAAAATGCCATCCATATTCAGAGGGAGAACTGATGAACTCTGAGTTGCAGAATTGAGTGTTTTTTTTCTACATTCTTTATTTTTCTTGCTTCCCCTCCCCTGCAATATGTTTAATATGGAAATGTTTTACATGACTTAACATGTATGACGGGTATCATACTGCTTGCCATCTCAGTGGGTGGGGGAGGGGCTGCAGGGAGGGAAAGAATTTGGAACTCAAACTTTTAAAAAGGAATTTTTAAAAAAAGAAATTTAAAAAGTTACAAAAATAGAGATGCAGTTCATTTTCTTACAAAATTCCACCAAAAACATCACAAAAACACTACACTGGTCAATCTGGCTCAGAACAGTGTGAATAAGTATTGGTACTCATTGACATTACACCATTACAACATTTCTGTCCTGTTAATATTCTTGACAGAGACAACACTAATAACTAATATTGATATAGCACCAGAAGGTTTACAAAGCAATTTACACCAATAACACACAAGTATATTATACTTGCCTATTTTCAGAACTAAGACCTTGGGATGATCTTTTCAAGGTAAAGATAGTTAACAGAAAAGCACCATTAGATAAAATATTACAAGTCAACATATATCAAACAAAGCTGAAAAATATGATTCAGTTTGCTGAAATAGTCTTTTTTTAATACCAAAATGTTTTAATTTAAAGGTAAAAGGTTAAATAAATGTTTAAAATTTAAATTTAAATGTTTAAATTCCAAAACAGACCTTTTTAGCTTTTTCTAGTAGTTTCACAGTCATGTTTCCAGTTCCAGGACCAACTTCTAGGACCACATCTGTTGGTCGTAAGGCAGCCTAAAAACAAACACAAAAATCTTAGGACTTTATTTCAGATATAGATATAAATGTTATCATACGACATCATGCTTGTGCTAACCTGCACAAAGCTGAATTATCAAGTGACTTCATAACCACATTCTAGTTAAGGGAATTTTAGCTTGGTTATCAAAGCTTAACATTGAACACACCCTGGCATTGCCAGTGGGCTCAATCATAAATTGACATAAAATCCACTTCCTATTTCAAAGACCTGTGATTGTGATGATGTGAAATCACTCCTTCCACCAACACAGATCACAAACCCTCTACAACTTAATAGATGATCTATGAGTTGCTTTGGCCAGAAATATTTATCAAATGCAGCCAACTTAGTAATAAGACTCTCCAAACTTAGCTAGGCTGGCCCTTGTACAACAAGAACCATATGCAACCAGACCCAAACATGAAGCCTTTCCAGGTTGGTAAAAATATATGAAGACAACAGTTTTTGAGAAGCCATGGTTACATAAGTGCAGGATGAAATCCACATCATTCCAAATAAAGGAAAATAAAGATTATTACTTGATAAACAGCTGGAAAGACTCTGAAGAGTCTTTGTGAGGTTGCCATACTCTATATAATCTTATTAATGGTTGCCACTAGAATTTTGTTTACAATTTGTTATTACCAAATACTGGCCCAAATTAGAAGTGAAGGTAAATGATATGGGAAGTATTAGGAGCATTCAGATGACCAATTCTACTTGTCTGAGTGATCCCATTCCATTCTCTCTCCTCCAACAGATTGCTCCTTCTTTCATCCTCATTCTTTCACTTATTTTCAATCTTTCCCTCTCTGTTGGCTCATTTCCTACTGCCTACAAACATGTCCATGTCTCCCCTATCCTGGGGGAAAAAAAAAACTCACTTAATCCTTCCATCCTAGGTAACTACTGTCCTATATCTCTTCTTCCCTTTGTAGCTAAACTCCTTGAAAAGGCCATCTACAATAGATGTCTCCATTTTCTCTCCTTTCATGTTCTTCTTAACCCCTCACAATCTAGTTTCAGATCTTATAACTGCTCTCTCCAAGGTTATAAATGATTGCTTAGCTGCCAAATCCACTGGACTCTTCTCCATCCTCTTTTTCCTTGACCTCTCTGCAGCTTTTGACAGTGATGATGACTCTCTCCTCTGCAATACTCTCATCTCTAGGTTCTTAGGACACCGTTCTCTCCTGGTTTTTCTCCCATCTGACCACTCCTTCTCTGTCTCCTTTCTGGATCTTATTCCAGATCAGGTCATGCCCTCTATATGTAGGTGTCTCACAGGGTTCTGTCCTGGGCTCTTTTTTCTTCGCCGTCTATACTTCTTCACTTGGTGATCTCATCATCTCCCATGGATTTAATTACTATTTCTATGCTGATGACTCTCAAATCTACCTTTCCTGCCCCAATCTCTCTGTTGATCTCCAATCTTGCTTCTCCAACTGCCTGTCAGAAATCTTGAACTGGATATCTCGTTTCCAAACTCATTATGTCCAAAACCAGAATTCATTATGTTTTCCTCTAAACCCCACCCCCCTCCTTCTTTCTTTATTAATGTATAGGACAACACCATCCTCCCAGTCCCTTAGGCTCACAGCCTAGGAGTCATCCTGGATTCTTCACTATCTCTTACCCTCCTATCCAAGCTGCTGCCTTAGATTTCACCTTTGCAACGTCTCTGGAATAACCCCCTTCTCTCCTCTGACAATGCCACTGCTCTATGATAGACCCTCATCATCTCACATCTCTATAACTACAATAGCCTGTGGTAGAAGTACCTGCCTCAATTCTCTCCCCATTCTAATCCATCTTCCATTCAGCCATTAAAGTGATTTTCCTAAAACACAGGTCTGATCATGTCATCTCACTACTCAATAAACTATAGGGACTTTCTACTACCTCTAGGAACATGCAAAATGTTGTTTGGCATTCAAAGCCCTTCATAATCTAGCCACCTCCTATCTTTCCAGTCTTCTTACACCTTACCCCTTATCACATACTCTTCAGTCCAATGACACTGACCTCCTGGCTGTTCCATGAATAAGACGCCCACATCTCTCAACTCCAAGCATTTTCTCTGGCTGTCTCCTGTGTCTAAAATGCTCTCCCTTTAAGGAGAACCAGCACAAACAAGTGAAAGAAAGCAGGTAACAAATAAAATGTAATTTTCTTTCATGTTGTTGTTATGAGTGGACCATTAATCTCCTGAAATCTGGTCCCACATAGCCAACTATCCACTGAACTTTTTCACCTGGCCAGCCCACAAGCATTTAAACTCAATATTTTCAAAAGAGAATTCATTACCCTACCTCTACCACCCTCCACACTTTCCTATTTCTTTCTATTAAGGGCAATACCACCATGCCAGTCACTCAGGTTACAATCTTAGAATCACCCTTGCCTCATTCTCCTCCTTTGATTTCACCCCTCCCCCAACCCAACCCATGGCCAAATCTTGTCCATTCTACCTCCACAACATCCCTTACATAATTTTCTATCCTCTATTTGCACGGCCACTCCTGAATTTGGGACTTTATCAACCCTCATCTTTCCCCCCTCTACAATCTACCTTATACACAGCTGCTAAAAGAACCTTCCTAAAGCAAAAGTTTAACTTTATCACTCTCCTCAAAAATCTTCAGTGGCTCTCAGTTTTCTCCAAGATAAACCACAGCTCCTTATCCAGATACTTAAAGCCCTCCATGATCTGGTTCAACCTACCTTCCAACAGTCTCACAAATTACTCACTCCCTTCCATGAACTCTACATTCCAACAAAATAAGTCACCAAATTTTGCCCAAACTCAACATTCCATCTCCTGGTTCTGTGTAGCTACACAAATACCCCACACCTGAGTGTACTTCCTCTGTTCTACTACATCTCAAAATCGTCCTCTTCCTTCAGAAGTCAGCTCAGATACCAAAAAAGCTTTTCCTAATTCTCCCCAGTTGTTCATGCCATCCCCTTCTTCAAACAATCTTACATTTACTTATCTGTGTATGTGTTGTCCCCATTAGAATGTCAGCTTCTTGATAGCAAGGATTATTCCATTTATTTTACCTTGGTATCTCCAGTGCCTAGCACACAGCAGGCGTTTTAACGTATTTGTTTAATTGAAGACAATATATGAAACATAATGCACTGTACCCAATTTTTTTTAAAAGAAGACACATTCTAAAGAAAAAAGCTTTGACTTTCTTTTCAGTCTTCAACAAAACCCAATTTATACAAACCTTATCAATGATGCTATTAACAATGAGAGGATTTTTCAAAATATGCTGTCCAAGTCCAGTATTAAACATGACACCTATAGGAAACCACAAACCAAATCTGTTATACAGCAAATCATGCTACTACATCACTTATAAAACGAAAGGGTTGCACTGATTGAGGAATGGTTGAACAAAAGTGTGATCTTTAGTACAGGATGAAATCTACATCATCCCAAATGTAGGAAAATAAGCATTATGACTTGAAAAACAGTCAGAAAGACCCTGAAGAGTTTTTGTGAGGTTCCTATACTCTGTATAATCTTATTAATGGTTGCCACTAGGATTTTGTTTATGTTTGTTATTAATAAACAGTGGCCTAAGTTAGAAGTGAAAGGGATAGAATAAGCTGTTTCCAAAAAGCTAAATGACATGGGAAATATTTAGAAGTGACCCTTCTTGAGGAAAGATGACCAATTCTACTTGTCTTTTGGAGAATGGCTGAAAAAAAGTGAATATAAAGAAATAATACTGCTCCATAAGAAACAAGTAATATGAAGAATTCTAAAAGGAATGGGAAGACACATAAAATGAGGAAAATTGAAATAAACAGAAACAGAAAATTATATGTGTGACCAATATTCCTTCCCCTCCCCCTCCAAGAGAGCCATCCCATATATGTCACTTTTTTTAAAAAAATTAAAAGAAGGTGTTGAATTAAATGATCTACAAGATTTATCTTTCAGCTCTAACACCATATGAGAATGTGATTAGAAAGAATTATGAAATCACAAGATTTGGAACCGGAAGGAACCTTACCTCAGTCCAGCCCTATCATTTTACAGATGAAAAAATTGAGGTCCAACAAAAAAAAAAATGAAATGACAGATAACAAACAGCAAGCAAAGCCCAAATTCTCTACGTCCAATTCTAGTGCGTACTTGTATACGTCATGTTGCCTCTCATATATGGGGTCTCCGTTCTTACTTTGCATATATAAAATCATAGCTCTTGTGCTGGAAGGGTCCTAAGAAGTTATCTAGTCCAACCCCCTCATTTTACAAATAAGGAAACGGAGGTCCAGAGAGGTTAAGTAATTTAGAGATACTAAGTGGTAGAGGAGGGATCCAAATCCATATCCTCAAACTCCAAATCCCTTGATTTTTGCATGCCACCATAAGCACGGTTACCTCTAACTCCCTTCTCTATTTCACAGAAATAGGAAAACAGAAGAGGATGAGCTCTGAACTCATGTCCCCCAACTCCAAATCCATTGATTAGAGGCAGGTAGGTGGCGCAGTGAATCGAGTGCTGGGCCTGGAGTCAGGAAGACCTGAGTTCAAACCCAGACTCAGACTCTTACTAGCTGTGTGACCCTTGGCAACTCACTTCACCTCTGCCTGCCTCATTTTCCTCATTAACAAAATGAAGATAATAACAGCACCTCCCTCCCAGGGTGGTGCTGTAAGAATCAAATGAGATAATATGGGCTGGAACACGGTAGGCTCAGTCTCATGGCTTATTCCCTGCTCTTCCCTCTCTACAAGGCTCCCAAACTTCTTACCCTGCAGACATCCCGTAATCCCTAACCCCTCCTCAAAACTGTAATCTTTTTAAAGACCCCCGCAGAGCCGTCAGTCTCCTTTGTATGCACGCCCAGAGACCCGGGCAGTGCCGGGCACAGAGCAAGTGCTTAAGAAACGTTTGCAGACTTGCTGGCTGAAACTGACCCAGGACTCCCTGGCAGGGCATTAGAAACGGCGCAGAAAATGCAGGAAGCTGAACGAGCGGGAGGTTTACACCCCTCCCAGCTGACAGCTGGGCAGCCCCGGGGCCTGCCAGGCTGGGCAGGCTGTCCAGCCACGCCACCCCACGCCGCGCCGCTCCCTCGCGGGGCACCGAGCCCAGAGCCGGGGAAAGTCCGGCAGGCCTCCCGGGCACGCGTCCCAGCATGCGCACACCCCCTTCGCCATTCCTCGGGGCCCCCACGGTTAGCACAAACCCCGGCAGCTCCGCGGTGGGAGTCCCGGGCCTGGGCAGGGACGAAACGAGGGTCGGGCCGCAGTACCTCCGTCGGTCCCGTCCTTCCCCTCCTTGCCACCCCTTACCGCCAGCACTCTTCTGCTCCCGCCGCTCCTGGCGCCGGCCGCTGGTCACCGACTTTGCCTTCGGCATCTCGACTCGGGAGCCGAGCTCTGCACCCGGACACCCAGCAGAGACACACTCGCTCCCCACCACGTGGGGGAGGGGATCAGGGAAGAGTCCAGGGCTCCTCCCCCGTCCCCACCCCCTGTCCCCACCTCCTCTCTTTTCTCCGCCCCGGCCAAACCAAAGGGCGTGCCGGGAATTGTAGTTTTTCTTCCGAAATGGCCCAGAGAGAATTGGAGAGCCAGACCTACAATCCCCATGAAGCCTCGCGCTGCCGCATTCGGGCCCTTCCGATTGGGCGATGCCAGGAGGAAGATGTGCTTTCCTAGACTGCGACTGCGCTGCCGTCCGGGCTGATTCTGTGGAGCTTCTAAATGTGGTTGGAAGTATCAGTACAAGAGTGAACTAGTGTCACGGTTACACTCTGCCTTCCTCAGCGCTCTTTGAGCGTATCGAGCTGGAGCGCCCCTGTCGGGTCTATTTCCATTTTCGTTCTCTGGGGACAGAATTTACAGAAAGAAAGAGCTCTAGGCGGGGAGAGAATCCAGCAGTGCCAGAGACCATTATCCCCAACCTATCAAATGGTCTAGTAGAGAAATGCATTCTGTACCATTCTTGTCGGTATTAGCATACTTTGGATATAAGTAATATATGTACATTTTTGTCTCCCCTGATAGGATACACGTTTTTTGGAGACAAAGACTTTCTCTTTGGGTTTTTTGTTTGTTTTTGGCGGGGGGAAGCTGTCTTTATATTCTTAGCGCCATGTTGGTTGATTGATGGGGAGTTATTCTTGCACGTGTTATGTATGAGTAAAAGAGGGGAAATAGAATTGTGACACATAACTGGAACCTAAGGAGGTGCACGTCAATTGGGGAATGCTCAATGTGAAATGATGAAAGGGACAGTTTCATAAGAGCCTGGGAAGCCTTGTATGAACTGATGCAGAGTGAAATGAACAGAACCAGAACAATTTATATGATAACAACGTAAGGAAAAATATGGTTGAGGGGCAGCTAGGTGGAGCGGTAGATAGAACACTAGCCCTGGAGTCAGGAGGACCTGAGTTCAAGTCCAGCCTCAGACACTTGAAACTTGTTAGCTCTGTGACCCTGGGCAAGTCACTTAAATTCATTGCTCTCCCCCTCTTCCCCCCCCCGCAAAAAAAAATATATGTATATATATGTATATATGTTATATACATATATATACACATATATATATGATTGAAAGACTTGAGAACTCTAATCAATGAAATGACCATCCATGATTCTAGAGTGCTGATGATGATGCTCCTTGATACCCACCTCCTCAGACAGAAGTAATGGACTCGGAATGCAGAATGAGACATACATTTTTGGACAAGGCCAATGTGGGAATTTAATTTTTGCTTTAAAAATGTTTTGTATTTTTTTTCGGGGGCAGGGGATGCGAAAGGTGGGAGGAAGAAAGAGGCTAGCAATAGGGTTTCTCCTGGCCCTCACCACTCCAAAAAAGAAAACAGGTGGAAGATCAGAAGGAATCACAATCGGGACAGCTTTGAGGATTACACGAATTTATAGTATCTTTTTTTTTTTTTAAAGCAAGCTCCACATAATAGAGATTTTTCAGTTTCATATGAAATCCTTTCTTGTTCTACAGTGTATGTGGAAATAAGCTTGTTTTATTTGATGTTTGTTAAAACTAGAATAATTTTTTTATAATTAAAGAAAGGGGAGGAAGGCTAGGAGAGTTGATTTTTGTCCCATTTGGATTCCAAGCTCATTAACAGCTCGTACAAAGGATTTCTCTCCACTTCAACCGCTTCCTGGTGTGTTCTGCGATCTCCTGTTGTACATGGGGCACATCAAACTGCATACATAGTACACTGACTCCAAAAGAAAAAAGGGTGGGGTTATTAGTTTTACAGTAACAATCCTCTCCCTCTAATCATTGTGAATTGGGAAACTGTAGATATAAGGGCAAAGTGTTATGTTGGAAAGAAAACTGCGGGAGTACAAGGTACTGCTAGGTGGTGCAGAGGTTAAAGCTCTGGGTCTCAGGAAGACCTGAGTTCAAATACAACCTCAAATCCCACCAGATACTAGCTCTGTGACCCTGACCAAATCATTTCACGTCTGCTTGTTTTAGTTTCCTCAGCTATAAAACGTGGATAAAAAGGGTTGTTGTAAGAGCAAATGATATTTGTAAAAATCATTTAGCAAAGTGCCTGGCACATAATAGGTACTATATAAATACTTTTTTCCTCCTTCATCTCTCTCCCTCCCCCTTCACCATGGAGCAGAAGACTTGGCATCTATGGAAAAAAATAGAAATAGAGTAGGTGTTCATTGATTAATAGCTGAACAAACTATAGTACAGAAATATAACATTTAACTGCAAAATATTACGAGCATGAGGAATTCAGGGAAAAAAGAGAACTTAATTGACTCATATAGAGTGAAGAAAGCAAAACTAAGAGAACAATATACATACACACTGGATACAGCGAAATAAAGAAAAACAATATAGAAAGTTCACAAAACCTGGCTAAATTTAATAACCAATCAGCCTAGGAGAACAGATAATAAAATAAATTGCCCTCTTTCTGGCAGAAAAGTGGAAGAATCAGAAGATAAAACATTGCATTGAGCATTTTTGTTGGCTGTTTTTTTTCCTAACTGGTTTTTCTTTGTTGCTGGAAGGGTTCAATGGAAGAAAGGTGACTTGCTACTGACTTGCTCAACCAAAAAGAAGTTTTGAGGTTTTGTTGAGGCAGTACCACTTAATAGCTCTGTGAACTTGGGTAAAAGCACAGAGTTCCTCCGAAACTTAGCTTCCTTATAAGTAAAATAGTTATAATAATGTCTGTACTACTTGTTTTACAGAGTTGTGAGGATCAAAGGTATTGGAACAAAAGTGTGATCCCTATGTTGGGAAGTAGAAGAATAGCAGCAAGCCTTCTCTCCTGTCCCTCTTTGTATCGTGGATGGACACTGTCTCTCAAGAATTCTTTCATTTTGGTATTTACATGGTCTCACTCCCCAACTTTAGTTTCTTCTTGGCAGGGTTAAACTATACGTGCTAGGCAGACAAAAATGTTTGTGGCATTAGGATTTGAAATTCATTACAGTGTATTTTTAAACTGTTTTTGAAGTTATTTATACCCTTTTAAGATGTTTCTGTGGCTTAATCAATGTAAAACAAATAACAATGTTATGATCCCTTCCTCCCCTTCTCTCTTAATTGTAGAATAATACATTCTTTTTAATTTTACATATGCATTAGAGAGTTACCATAATTCATTCTTATATTCTCTCTAGTGATCGAGTTATAAATTAGAAAGGTAAAATACTATTTACCTTAGTAGAAGAATGATTTAAATCATATATTTAGAGCTGGCATCTAAAGTCATATGAAAAAATGCTCTAAATCACTATTGATTAGATAAATGCAAATCAAAACAACTCTGAGGTACCACATCACACCTATCAGATTGGCTAACATGACAAAACAAGAAAATGATAAATGTTGGAGAAGATGTGGGAAAATTAGAACACTAATGCATTGTTGGTGGAGTTGTGAAATGATCCAACCATTTTGGAGAGCAATTTGAAACTCTTCCCAAAGGGCTATAAAAATGTGCATACCGTTTGACCCAGCAATAGCACTTCTAGGGCCATATCCCAAAGAGATCATACAAATGGGAAAAGGACCCACATGTACAAAGATATTTATAGTAGCTATTTTTGTGGTGGCAAAGAATTGGAAATTGAGAAGATGCCCATCAACTGGGGAATGACTGAACAAGTGGTGTACAAATGTAATGGAAAACAATTGTGCTGTAAGAAATGATGAACAGGCAGACTTCAGAAAAAACCTGGAAAGACTTGTATGGTCTGATGCTGAATGAAGTGAGCAGAACCAAGAGAACGATGTACACAATAACAGTCAGGTTGTGCAATGACCAATATTGATAAACTTAACCCTTTCCAGCAATACAAGGATCTAAGACATCTCCAAAGGCCTCATGATGGAAAATGCTATCCACATCCAAAGAAAGACTATGGAGTTTAAATACAGATTGAAGCATACTATTTACTATTTTTTTTCTCCTCTGTTGAATTTTGTTTCCTTTTTCTGGTGATTCCTCCTATTGGTTCTAATTCTTACAACATCACTAATGGGAAAATATGTTTAATAGGAATGTGTGTGTATATATATATATAACCTATATTAGATTGTGCGCTGTCTTGGAGAAGGTGGTAGGGAGGAAGGGGGAGAAAAATTTTAAACAAAAACATATGGAAGTGATTGTTGATAAATCAAAATAAATTAATTAAAAAAAAGATTTAGAGCTGGGAAGGACCTTGTGGTTATCTTGTACAAAATTTTACTGATAAAGAAATTGAGACTGAGAGCTGTGAAGGGACATGTCTAAGGTCACATAGGCAATAAGTTGCAGAGTCAGTATTTACATGCCGGTCCTCTAACTCTAAATCTAGAGCTCCTTCCAATATATTACAAAGCATGCTACAAAAATCATGCTGCTTGTGACTGGATTTAAAAATGGCAAAACGTTTTTATGAACAAGTGGTTGTATAACAGATGCCAATGCTAAGAGAATTTCTTCTATTTATTCTAGATTTATCAAATAAGGTGGCTAAAATTCTCATTCTCATGTGTTCATATTTAGTGGTAAATGAATTACCATGGAAAAATTGAATTATTCAGAACAAGAATATAACGCAATTGAAAGGTTAAAAAAATTGAAAGTGCAATTACAATCAAGCTGCTGATTTTGATTAAAATAATTAAATATTCTAGTCTAAATATAGTGATAATCTATAAAAATGCATTCTATATAAATGTTAAATGAAATACCAGCTTAAATACAAAAAAAAATCATAGCATCCCTGAGGGTTTTTCATTTCTGTTATATAGCCTTGATGTTACCAGAAAAATAGAGAAATTAAATTGGACTGGCAATAAAATTAATACTAATTATTACACACAGTATTTTATGGTGACAATTTCTAATTTACTGCAGAGCAACATGAATACTCTGCCCTGAATTCATAATTCACAAACAAAAAGACAATTCAATATAAAATG